ACTTTATTATAATCCGTTTTGGGATGCGCCTCGCATTCCACTCTCATTCGAAGTCGTAGTGCCATTTAAACGCGGTATGGTCTATGCAGTTGAGGGAGGGAGAGGGGGAGGGTTGGCCGTGTTTTATAATTCCGAACAAGACAGTTCTGAACAATTGACCGACCTCGGAGGGATGGTAGGCCTAGTTGACTTGAGCTGCGCCCGATCCGAGATTTGAGCCAAGGATCGTGCGCGTGGGAATTAATTCCCGAATCTTGAATGGACCCAAAATTCCTTCATGTACCTATTAAGCCCATATACCCAGTTTAAGCCGTTTTTGTATCCCTCCCATTTTATTAAGGGATTAGTGCTTGCTCGCGCAAAAGGGAAATCCGAGAGCATTGTGCTGAAGCGGTCTGAAGGGTAAAAGTAGCCCACCAGGCAAGCAGAAATACCGATTGTAAACTGGTAACTCAGCGATTTTGTCGTTTGATCTTGGAATCATGTGGAACCGTGCCAAAAAAGATCACAACCTCATTCTAACCATTTGTTTTTTTTCTGATTTTTTTTTCGCTGTTAAACAATATCAATTTGTTATGAAAGTATGGTAATGTGTGAATGTGAACTATTCTCTCCAAACACCATCATCACCTTCTCTTGGTCTTCGGTGTCATCTAATTTCTTTATTTTCATGCTATCTCAGGCGGCGACGGTAAGTACTACTTTTATGTAGCGCTACATATCGATAGCAGCTGTTTAGTGTGGCTGTTCTGGTGCCAGCCTGTCTTCACTGAAGCCTGGCTCGAGCAGAACAGTCAGGCCGAGCAGTGAAGCTAATCCGAGCTTGTGTGCGGTGTTATGTTAACAAAGCATGTGGTCCTTTTACTGTCTGACTCTGTCCATTTAAGTATCGTGGGATTTTTTTTTGGAAGCAAACGCGATTGTGCCGTTACGCTTAATGTGGGTTATCGAATGAATGGCTTCTCTTATGCACTGCCTTTTAAGATTTATGTGAATCGGTATATATTTTACGAGGGGTTTTTCGCCGATTTAGTTTCAGTTCCAAAAACTGATATAGTGGCCATTAAAAATCGCCAAGTACTGCGCGGATCTGCAGGAACACTATGAGAAGAAGCGAGTAAGAGGAGAGTTCTGGCCATGGTCAAGATGATATCGCAGAATTTTTTGAAATATGACCCCTTTCAATTCCCGCAACAAGCGTCCAAGCCCTCCGATCAGGTATTGCCACCAGAGGTGCGGTTTGGTTTAGAGCCGTCCCGTTCCCTGCGTACTATTGCATAGCTCTAACTATATTTCCCGGAAAACCATCCGGCGGGTGGGTGAAAATTTTGCAGCACTGGAAAGATAAACTTTTCCGAACTCTTCAAAATACTTTTGAAATTCCGCAATTTTTTTGCCGAGGTTTTTAGCAAACCCTTACAAGTCGGCCCCTTCAACACAGCCTACCTAGAGAAGTCAAATAAGCCCCCATCGTGAGTTCTGCGACGTGTGCTTGACCATGGTTTCGTTGCTAAAGTGTTGTGAGAGTGCTAAGATGAGAAAGTTACCCTGTCAGTGCAAGACATCGCGCCGCCAAAGTTTGTTGCCAACGACGTTCGTCAGCATCTTTTTGTGTCTTCCCGAGGTACTGCACTGATACCTCGATGTTCTGGGACCCTCGTCAAGTTCGTATAAGAATAAGTTGAATGTGCGAATCTAAACCAGCAGAAACAACGACAAGCAAAAGAAACCGAGTGGCCTCAAGTACGACAATATATTCTATTCATTTCTTCTGACAGCGATCTGCAGTTTACCAATCCTCGAGATTCCACCGCCTGGTTTCGAATTCGATGAAAAACTTTCAATATGCTTGATGTAATTAGGCCCTCTTCAAGCAACAAGCAATATCAGTTGCAAAAAATATTCAAATAATTATGCGAAAAGTAGGAGTAAAGAAGAATCACAAAGTACAAAACATCCAAAATCCTTCATAATGTGAACGGATAGTTAAGAACATGAAAAATATCAAAAACAAATCAAGTGAAAAGGGTTTCCTCTTTGTGCTCGCGTGCATCACGTGGTGATGCACACGAGCACAAAAAGGAGTCTCATTAAGAATGCCTGATTAATGGAGGAGAGCTATAAATTGAAATTGTACCGTCATTATTCGAATTCTTCATAAAGAGAATGTTTTTCGAAGTAACGGATTTAACCTGCCTTAGAATCACTGCACTAACTTCATATGTTCCAAGTGTTTCAGAACTTTTGCACAGTCATATATTTTCGTAGATGTACACTGCCTTAACCTTCGTTGTGTCAGCGTTTTGAGCGTAGTTCCGTGTTTGAGACCCTAGCCGTACTTAGACGACATGGCTAATATACATATTGGTCTTGTTTTCTTCCGCCATAAACTAACACAGAAAAATTGCGAAACTAGAGAATGTTTACAGTTACTGCATGTTGACTGGTCATTGGCATGCTGTTATGAAACGTTTTACTCGTCTTTGTACGTTCTCGTCGTCCTGGTCCGACCGCCGTTGACCGCCGCCGCTAGGCTGGTGCCGGCTAGTGTAGCGGTAGTGTAAAACGAAAAATGAAATGAAGAGGACAAGCTGGCCTCTCCTGAAGGTGGCCGGTATGCGCTTTTAGCAAAACGGTCTATTTTCACATACATATTGTTTTTTGCTACAGTATTTTCTTGCTAAGCCTCAGCATTCCTATCGCTATAGCCATATTTTGCACAGCCATTCATTCGTCTCCCATATTTCCCAGTGACCCACAAGCAAATTTTTCATGCCAATATTTCAATAGCTCTTCACCACCAATACGCTTTCGTGGCCACCGTCGAGTTTCGCCTTCCATAGCCGTACTTAGTGCTAGTGTTTTTTTTTCCTTTCAATTTTTTTAAGTCATTCCATGTATTCAGTTGAACTGGATTTGTAGTTAACTGCAGTGTTTTTCTAATTTTCATTTTGATACCGATCTTTCTCTCCAAAACCAACCTCGGTTCCATGTCGAGTTCGTAGCGGTTTTCGTGAGTTGAGTTTTGCAATCAGCGACCATCCCTTGCTATGTGCTAGTAACACGGCACCACCTATTTTGGATATGTACGCTCCATTATTCAAGCGTTATGTCAGGTTTTTGCCACGATGGAATCCAGCACACTCAAGAATTCCTCTTCAGAAAAAATGCCGTATTCAAAAAAAATGATAGAAGTAAGAGGTAGAGGTAGAGAAGATGCTTGAAACTGCTTCGTTTTGGGTTTATTCAAATGACGAAATCTATGACAGTAGTTAGTTATAGGTTGAGGTAATTTTAGTTATACGAGGTGGTAGGTTTACGGACTACTTGATTTTTCCTCAATGGTCCTGCCGCGATGGCTAGAGCACAGACGATTAGAGAATGCCCTAGGACTAAGCCTTGGAGAGGAGAGGGACCCGCTAGAGAGCGCAGAGGCGCGGTAAAGGGCTTTGGGTTTCAGGTTAGTCCCGTTCGACCAGAATAGTTACCAGGTGACAGGGAAGGGGCACATTCGCAATAATGGAATTTTCAACGTTTGTAGAAGAAAGTGTCCAGGAAATACGAAGCAACTGGGCGCTAGTGCAAGAACATATTTGTGTATTTAAGTTCAATTTCCAGAAATTTCCTTTTGAATAGCGATTCCAGAGACCGAAGGCAAATGGTCGCCTTGCCTGCATCCTCTAAGGGAGCTTTTGTTACAACTTTTTTTTTGTGGGCAGTGGGTAGTCAATGCGTTTGGTTGTTCAGTTATCATGCATTGAGTTATACTATTATTACTACTTCCTCTTATCCACAACCCGAATTTTGCTCCCAGAATTGGGGCGTTCCAAGGTAGCGGGTGGAAATCCCAAATCGGGACCCGTCTTTTCTCCAAATGGGCAGATACGTCCAGTGTTGCTCTCATCCAATCCTTATGATGCGCGAAAATGGATCTTTCATGTGAAATTTGCGAAACGCAGTCCTGAAGAATAACTGATCCTGTCTCTTAGACCGTCTTCGTTGATTTGTTTTTCAAATTATAGTATTATAAGAAATTTTTTTTTTAACTGTGGAAATTATCCTTTTTCTAGCCCCCCCCGGGGTTTATTAGATTCAGAGTTCTGGTACCACATAGAAAGGTACGGTCGCAAAAGGGGACCAGGCATTGTTCTGAAGAGGATTCCAAGAGTATTTTCTCACCTAACAACCATTTCTGACATAACGTTTGAAATGCCGCGCATGCAAAGAATGCGCCGTTATGCACACCTCCGACTGAGTGAATCGAGGTTGGGACAGCTGTGGAGAGCTGATCGAAAAGTGTTTTCGTTTTCAGGTGGAGTACCATCAGCTCGAAAGGAGGTCATCCGGCACAAGATCCGAGCTATAGGCAAAATGGCGCGCGCCTTCTCTGTGCTCAGGTACCGTGTTTCATTGATTCGAGTTGACACGGCTCGACTTCCTTCATTTTTTAACATTTCGAATTCCACTGTTCTTCCAATTTTTTTGTGAATCGTTTTTTGGTTTTGTTTTAACAATAATAATAAGACGTGAAGGTTTGATGGTGAAAATGTGTCGAGTTCACATCATCAAGAACCTGTTAGAGGGTGTTTAAGGAACGTTTTGAGCTGTTAGTGTGTCTTTTTGATGTACACTAAAGTTGAAATCCCCTACGTCATTCGTCAATGTTGGCGTCCTTTCCGTTTTCCGTACTGTAAGCTCAACAATGAGCGAGCATCTCTTGTTTAATGCCCTGTTGTTGTGAAAAGCAGTTTGGATGGGTTAGCTCTCAATAATTGAAGACGATAACAACTCAACAGTATCGCGGAAGTGTTGAAATTAGATGTGAAGACCAGTGCCCTAACCATAAGAGGGGGCAGGTGCGGGTATAATTGGGGATTTTGTCGGGTTAGTTGGCGTGTTGTGAACCGTGTGAGCCAAAGCAGTGCTCATGGAATGTACATTGATAGCCAAGGAGGGTGCGCCTTTAAGTTTTGTTTTGCTTCATGTTCTAACCGTCCAACTGGTTATTCTCGCTTTGCCAGTGCTTCTACTGTCATCAGTTCATTTTTTTTTCGTGTGGCTATTATTTTAACAAAACAGTCAGTTTGTGTGCCGAGTGTGCCAGGCGCATGTGTTTCATGTCTGTTTTCAGAGAGGAAAGCGAGACGGTGTTGGCGCTTAAAGGTCTCACGCCAACCGGAACGCTACCGTTGGGCATACTGCATGAGGGTAGACGTGGAGTACAAGAGGGTAGGTGCAATAGCTTACTGGCAATCGAATCATGTTCGGCTGAGGTTGCTTCACTTATCCGGCGGACCGAATCAGATGGAAACATCTCATTGTGGCGTTTGTCGTCCTCCTTAGTAGCCTTCTAACCCGATGTGAATTCGTTGGTTTCTTTGAAATGTGATGCGCCTGTCCGCTCTGGTGTGATACAATAATTACACACTGTTCTGCACGGTGTTTTTTTTATTAATTAACCTAACAAAATTCTTGAGTAAACTGGAAATGTTTGAATAGGAAAGTAGTGAGTAGTAGTAAATTCGCAAAATTTCTGAATTCGCATTTAAAGACACGAGAGCGAGACGGTGCTGCAGCTCAAAGGCCTAAATCCAGGAGGCAAACTGCCACAAGGTATTCTGTCCGGAGGAAAGTCGGCACTCGTCGAATGTAGGTTATCGTATTCAGTCGTTACGATCGCTAAACTCAATGTTGGGTCGTTATGGTCGCTTAAATTCGGGCCATTTCCTGCCTTGAACAATATCATACAGTTCGTTTTACTTGATTCTTCAGTTAAAGGCACATTCTGCGATAGCGAAAGCTCTATAAATGTGGGGTTTGATGTAGAAACATTTAGTGCTGGATGTCTCAGTATTGCAGGATAGAAGGAAAATAAACCATCGAAATCTTTTGAGATGCCTTTTTGTCTTGGCGTAGGGGACGCAAACAGTCTAAAGGACACTGGGAGACGAGGCGGCTAATACGGCGATAAGAAAGAATGATTCGAAACAACGTGGCGGGGAGCAGATATAGCGGTGGTACGCTTGCTTTAAGTCCTAAAAGTGGCGCTGTCTCTGCAGTTGCGAACCCGTCGGACTTATCAAAGGGGGAGGGTTGGTCCGTTGAGCTTAGTGCGGAATGTGCCTTTCAAATATTTGTGGTAAATAGTGGAAGCGTCCCTCAGCCCTAGTCTTAGCCTTATACTGAGTGACGTTTATGTACTATGGTTTTGATGAAACATCTGATACAACTTTTGTTTGAAGAAAGTCCGCCCTAAGAGTATTTCATTACTTCTCAAGCCCTGTGAAAAGGGGTTTTCAGAACTGCTGACAGCAATGAATTTTTCCAATGAAAAGATAAGAACGGGTTCGGAGATCTTTTCTAGCCTCTATACATGGCCGGTTGCGAAAATTCGAGCTAACGCAGTATCGATTTTTTTTATTGATTTCATATTAAGTAGCTAAAAGAAGGCATAGCCGAAAAAACTGTGTGCATGGCATTCATTTCCGGGCTCCCACTTTTTTACTTTTTGGGTACCAAATTGATATCTTCTAGTGTCTTCGGCTCATTTTTTGAACTTTTAAATGACCGCATATCTGGCCTTAACTATGTAATAAACGTACCAGACCCGTGATAAACTTCGAAGTTCGAATTCAGGTCTTTCAGAAGGTCTGTGAGAATAGCAAAAAATCCCCACGTAGACTTTCACGCCTGGCAACATTTTGGTCAAGCAAAATCATACTTTTTGATATGTGCAAGTTGTAATGGAAGAAGGCCTTGTCGAAACGTAGAATGAGATAAATAATTGAATGGACCATAATGACCAAATGAGCATAATCCTAGTAAAGATTTTATTCTGATGGTTAATTTTAGCTTTCCGATAGGTTGATAATCATTATCCTGTCGTGCTGTTTTTCGGCGACTTCGTCTTCTTCGGAGCCGGAAAGGTCGCGAAACCAAACCACGGCTTATCCAACAAAGCCCATTCCGACCGAGACTTTTGAGGAACCGGCTAAGCCGACACACAATTGAAAAAAACCTTATTGTTCTTCGCATCCGTCGAAGAACGAAGTTATTACGAACGTTAGTCGACGAAATCATTATGAACTTAGCGTGCTGTTAAGTCAAAGCAAGCCGATATGTGTTCCTACAGACTTCAGTGAGCCAATATTAGGCCGATGTCAGACTTTGCGAATCGCGCGATTCGCTAGCGTCTGCGGTCGCGTCGCGGCCAGTGAATCACTCAATTGGCTGGTACCGCAACGCGACCGCGGACGCTAGCGAATCGCGCGATTCGCAAAGTCTGACATCGGCCTTAGCGGTTGACTGAGAGTGCTAAAAGCATCGAATCAGGTAATTCGTGGCCGCTAATATGAATAGCTGCCACAGTTGAGGGTTGCTTTTCTTCTCTTCCAGCCTGGCTTTGGTTTACTATGTCTATAGTTACTTTAGAGCAAAAACGCTTGAAACCACAGGGTTATTCGTAGAAGCAATGATGGTTTTAATTCTTCTTTGATTTCCATGTGAATCCTAATTGAAACTCTTTTTCAGCCCTGACAGGTGTACAACCGGGCCATCGTATTCAGTCGTTTGCGGAGGCAAAGAGGCTCGATCAGATGAACGAGCGTATGCCGCCGTCGATGGCGACACCTGGACAATCGCCGTCATCGTCACCGCAACCACGTGCGCGTAACGGACCCGATGCATAAGCGCTTCGCCGACGGCAAATCGTCGACGTGCTCTCATCGCCTTGTCATGCCATACACACACCACAAACACTCATCTCTTCCTATCTCTCTTTCTGTCTGTCTGTCCCTCATACTCGCTGCGTCTCCTCCCCAATCTTCTACATTTTTTTCTCCCCGTTTCTCGTCGTTGGTGACATATCTACATATCGAACTAGTCCACAGTGTGCGCATGAGATTTTCGCTTTGTCTAGTCTTATGGATTTTTTTCAATTTAAAATAATTTGCAACACTGCAACACGAGTATTTCTTGTAGAAGTAAAGGAGCACAAAGTGGGCGGCGCGAGGATCGGAGCCTGAGCGCGGACGTTCAGATGTAAGCTGTTGCTGATACAGCTTCAGTTTGACTGCGCCTATGACTCGAGCCGGCATAAGGCTATCATAGAAAATTACTGAGCATGACATTTTCTGCGATGTCAAACAGGATCCGAACTTCGCGATGCTGACGCGACATTCTCGTGAATCATGTACCCCTCCTATCTAGTCCGCGGTTCCCTTTCCTTCCTTCCTATAAAAGGCAATCTCGTTTTGATTCGCGATTGTATTCAGGATGCTCTCACACTTCGGACCGCATCTTCAGTACGCATGTTTGTTGGCTATTGATTTTACGCGTTTGTAATCGATATCCAGTCTCCAGTATGCGTTGACACTGTGCGTCCGAAGTTGTGAAAGTAGCCTAGCGCTCGAAATGAAGGAAATCTCCGAAATTGTTATTAGTGTGTTCAAAAACTGAGGAACGTTGTGTAGGAGGTTCAGCTGCTACATATGCTACATTCTAGCCGTAATTATATTGAGGATCCACGTCTAGCTTATATGGGGATTTGACTTTGACTCGTTGTTTGTTTTCATTAATGTTAATCTTTCCGGTGTATAAGGTGTTTTGTTTATTGTTAAGGCTTGGTGTGGAGTGCTTTTCTTTTCTTTCTCTCTTTCTCTCTCTCCCTCTCTCTTGATATTGTATACAACATGCTCCATGTGAGTCAGGCAATAGGTTCACCACCCCCCACTGACTGAAGTGACACCCAACCTCACTGTGTAGAAAATTTAGTATTAATTTTGTAATGGTTATAATGGTTATAACCAATTAGGAGAGATTTCCAGGAAGGAATCTGAGCTACCCAACTGCAACCTCGCTTAGATAAATCAACACTGATCCTGTCAATGACTTCACGCCTGATTAGAGTGAGCAAGATCCAGTTAGGTCTCTTAATCCACGTGTCATTTTTTCTGTGCGGCTATCGTAATATTCAATTCTCCCTTTTTTTCTGAATTGTATCGGGTGATACCCGCACATCGAACGATGCAAAGGCGCTGCTATAAAACGGGTACAAACACAGTCACGGGCTAAAAGTAGGGCCGCAGTTCGTGGAATTCAGGCGCGCGGTCGCGTATAGGCAAGTATGGCCACATTTTGCCCGCGTCAGTACTCGCGCGAGGAGAGGCCTCTACGTCATTATTGCGGCACGGCGCCTTAGATAATAGATAAGAGTGAATTTGAAGTACTTAACAGTACATGCAACTCGTACTATGTGCGCTCCCCCAGCTTGACTGTTCCCGCCACGGCTATTGTGTACGTATGACCGTTGATGTGTAGTATTGATATCATTCAGCTTCGGCTTTATTTCATCTATCCCATTCAGTCACGGCCCGCGGTTTTATCATCCCAGGCCATCATCAATTCCAGACTGCGATTTTCTGTACACAAAACCGTTTCCGCATGGCAGTTTGCTTCATGTGTTTTCGACAATAGGCTCTCGATGCCGCTGCACTCCACCTCTGTTTCTCATCAAGCATAACCAATTTCGTTGCGACAATTGCTTTGGATCATCCTGGCAGCAACACCATGACGACTACAAATCCCCTTCGTTCGATAACTTTTAAGATATTATTTATGTCCTCAATTTTTTTTGTTATATGCGTTTTTTTTCGTTTTGTAATTCTGTGTTAGCAGTGTGTGGCAGTATACGTTTTTTTATTTATTATTTATAAGTATTCTCTGTTGGGGTAGACTATTTTACGTACGTTGTGGTGATATTATTCGAGATGTAAAGCCAAGTTACTTTCGGGTAGTAATGTGGTCGACTCATATGCTAAAAACTTGAGGAATGATGGTGATGTGTGTATGGTTTGCATTTACTTTGGAATAGTATTATTCGACAGTACGTGAATGATATGGTCCAGATACACGTGGAGGCGGGGGGGGCGGGGGGCGGGGTCGAGAACGTCCGTTGGACGAAAGTACGGTGTCGCGCAGCCGCACAGCAGTATTCCGCTCCTCTTGTGTGGTTTTTCCGTTTTTGTTTCCGATGTTCTTCGTGGTGACACGTACGCACGGATGTACTACATTGAGCGGGGCTATCCGGCCTGGTTGCGTGCGCGTTTTGAATGCATTCCTTCCGCGTCTAGCACCGGACTGTTTGTTAGATTGGTGCGCTTGTCTAGCCATGGATTCTCGGTCCGAACCACCGTTTCTCGCTCCTTTTATCTTTGACGGGCGGCTTCCATACGTATGCACGGTTTTTGCTGTTGGCGGAGAGGTAGGATGGTGGATGGTTGGGGGGTGTGGTGGTAGGGGAGGAGGGTTTTTGTGGGGTTTTGGTTTAAGTCGTTCAGTGTGTGTTAACGTTTGCTTTTAGTAACGGTTTATTTTTTTCTTTGACGGATGACTGTGCAAGGCTCAATATTTTGTAGGATGACACTGGAGCGTGTATTCGGTGGCGTCGTTACCGGTGGGAGATAACTTTGTTGGTTTGGGGGAGGGATGTGTGATGTGGTTATCTTTTTGTGTAGTAGGGTCTCGGTTTATGCGTATTTTAGGATAGTATTCGGAGCGATTCGTGAAGGTATTGAAGAGCCGGCGCAAGAAGAGCCAAAGCTGTACTGACGTGCGGACTAGTGAGCCCCGCTTCCGTGGACACTTCCTGGTTCCGTGTTCTCAAGCCTTATAGGTTAATCGACTTTATGCTTAGTCGGGATTTGTCACAAGTGGATAACTTCTTTCTCTCTAGGATTTGTGCCGATGATTTGCGGAAGAGAACGGAGGCATAGGAATAGTGGTTCAGCAATTAGCAACGACGAGGCGTGCATATGGCGAGGGTGAGCTGGGCAGGGGGCGATGAGGGGTACAGTGAGAGTGCGGCACAGTTGGATAAGAGAAAATGAGTTGGGCCGTTTTTGAGGCGGCCGTGTTTATCCGGTGGTTTTTGTGCGGAACGGCTTGTGTTTTCTGCGGGTCTTGACGCGCGCGTTGACCTGCTGGTTTGTGCTTCCAGGTGTGGGGATGGGTCACATTTCCGTCCGTCCGATCTTTCTGGGTTCCATTCGCTTAGGCCAGCTACTTTTTTGGGGGTACGAGGAGTTGGTAATAGGATGGGGTATGGGGGATTGATTTTTTGCGACGAGTGTATGCTTTGGGGTCGTGGTTCGTTTAGCGGGGGGTATGACTGCAGATCTCGTTATTCTCTCTCGCCTTGGAGAATGCTCTCTTCGCGTCAGAGTCAAACCCTGATATGGGACATCTCTCAACCTTTGGGCCACGCCTTGTGATCATCATGGCTGTTGTGGATTGGCGAGGTATATTTGCTGCGAGTATAACAGCAATAGTTCAATACTGTGCTCATAGTGCCGCAAAATATGGACGACCGTCTTTCAGCCTTCGGTGCGGAGGGGGGCAGGGTCAACCGTCCGTTGGACAAAGTCCAACGCGACGACGAGAGTAATGCCGAGAGTGAACGTACGCACGGAGACACAGACGGCTCGCGGGTGGCGAGAGTGAATGCCGGCGCGGAGAGCGGTGAACATCGGTCCAACGTCGCTCCAATATCGGTCCAACGTAACGGTTGACCCTGGGGGGGGGGGGAGAGTGGGGAAGTCGTTCAGGGCAAACTGTGCTTTTTTAAAACTATTTTCTGCATGTTCAGCATATTGAAACACGACGACTGCGTCCGACGAGAACACCTTTTGGGAAATTGTTTATTTGTTATCTTTCTTGTGTGGTAGGTCTCGGATTTTGCGATTTTGGCCATTTCAGCGATTCCTGCGATTTGAGAGCGCGTAGAAAGGGCCAAAGCTGAACGTGCGATTAAGAGAGCCCCTCCTTCCTAGGATCACTTCCTGGTCCCTGTATCTCGAGCTTATAGAATGATCGTTGGATTGTAATCGGATTTACATGTCGGAAACCACTCACAGATTCGATGATTTGCGGGAAAGGAGGAACGGAGGCAAAGGAAAATGCTCACAGACAACGCAGAAGCGTCTGCAACTCTGGTCTCGATACGACTCCCCATCACCACGATCAAACCCTGATATGGCACCACTCTCCAACCTCGGCCAACCCCTACCATCATGGCTGTTTCTATAGTACTATGATGCTAAAACAAATCAACTCAGCCCGAAACTCTGACCACCTCTTCAGGCTGGTGTTGAGAAGGTGGGCGGAGTTTCAGGCAGGATCTGCGATCCGTCGCACGATTCGCACGAATCGCGGACTCTGACACAAGCCCAACAAAACGACCGTGCCGTCGAGCGTAGGGGGTGGGGGGATGGACGGAAAAGCGAATATTCTAATTTTGTCTATTATGCTTCTCATTTCTGAACTTCACCAAAAATCGACAGGAAAACTTTTCAAAAACGGACCCCTCTCGCACTATCACGGCCCCTTCCACTTCTAACGATGAGGCTTCTGTCGCCCTTTTGAATCGCACCAGCTCCATTATGCTGCCCCTACAGAAACTGAAAGAGGAGCTCCCCTCTAAGGCCTGCACAGCGAACGGTTGACCCTCCTCGAAAATTTGCTGCTTACTTTAGTTTCACGATAACGCTCACAAGCCTTTCCTTCAGTGCAGGTTACGTTGCTTCAGCCAGCCCTTTGGGCTCGAGCACTCGACTTCTGTGTGACACATTAGCGGCTTGTTTGCGAATACTTTATCTGAAACACATCCACGTAAATTATGTCTGATAATCAG